GCATAGGCACTTAAATACTCTCTGTCAGTTCAAATGTTGGGGGTTGGATGAATTTTCAAATCAACTTCGTTTCTTTATATATCCCCAATTTGGTAGCATACGACAAGTTTTTTTTATCTTAACAATTTTGGTTGTGGGTTAAAACTAATAGGCAATATATTCATGTTGGCGGGACTAGAAAAACGATAAGAATTTGTAAGTAGATAAAGCATTCATGGATCAAAATGGCTCAGGACTAGTATACAAAAAATTTCATAGGTATTGCGATTAATTTGTGCAGGAATACATTTTGTATCCGACAAAGTATCTTCCGTGTGTACAAAATATGTAAAGAATCTAGCTAACAAAAATTATATTCTCTAAGACCTAGTATATATAATATGTTCTGCTCAATCGAGTACATATATCATGCTCTGCTCAAGTGAGAGGTGAGATCAATGAATGACTCTTCACTGCAAGGAATAGTGAGGCCGCCCATTGGATGATGAAATCCAAATTCTTGTTCAGCTTGGCATAGCAATTCTTGAAACAGAGGATGGTTTAAATATGATAATGGAATAACAAAGCGCTTGTTATTGTTTTCCCCAACATAAATAGCCAAATGACCCTTTGGAGCTTCAGTTGATCTTTTTTCCGCTGATAAAGACCGCCTAAGCATTTTGTGAATGGCCATTGAATTTTTGTTAAAGTAAATATTTGTGAAGTTGAAGATGGAAATGAATCAAGGAATATATGAGAGTTTTTTGAAGCAAGTAAAATATGAGAAGTAGTTGAGTTGTGAGTTTTAAAGGTGGGTTGTGACTTGTGAGCATATATATATAGAGATGAAGTTGTAAATGGTATATCCAAATTAGCTGGATTGAGTGGTGATGAAAAGGCCAAAGGATATGTGGTGGCCGGAGAAGTTAGAGAAACAAAAGCACATGAACAATCACATGGTTTTGTCCTTTAATTTGTTTGATTGAAAATTTAATGTCCTACAAACTATGGCAACAACCAACATGGCCCCTAATGATGACCTTACAACATATCATCACAATTTTTCTCAAAAATCATACGAAGATTTATAGACAAAACCACATTATTATTCATGTGCTTTTGTTTCTTCAACTTTGCCAAAAACCAAATAGACTTTGGCCTCTTTGTAACATTTCAATCCAGCTCTATTCGCAAGGATACATACGGAATTTATAACAAGTGTACTTCATCTATCTATATATATATATATATATATATATATATATATATATATATATATATATATATATATATATATATATATATATATATATATATATATATATATATATATATATATATATATATATATATATATATATATACTATGTGTTGGAGCAATACAAATTTTCTTAGCTAGTTCCTGGACATAATACCTTGTTCTATTTTTTCGTCTTTTTATTTTCAAAGACACAGAAGATAATACATACTTTGTCTCAAGAATTTACCTTGAAAAGATTTTTTTATAAGTCATTATATACTTACAAGTTCATTGTATGTTCTCCCTCTTTAATTTTACACAATATCTGCAAGTGCTAAATGCTTGTGTGATTAAAGGAACAAAACAATCAACAAAGAGTGAATAAAGGAACAAAACTAGGATACAATTATGCCACGTCCATAACATAAAATCTACATAAGGAGTTACATAAAGAGAAGAAATGTGAATAAGAAAAATACTTTTATGCTCAAAATACCTAGTGGTCGAGCCCGCGTCATAATTTGTGTTAGCAGAAGCCTTTGTTCGCGCCGCTCTTGCCTAATTCTATAGCTCAAAGTGCTACTATAATAAACAGTGATATATTTTTTTCGTTAAATTGAGTAATTAGGTGTACAATATTCAGTTTGTACGATTTACAATTTGTATGCTTTAAGATTGTTTATTTTATTTTAGGGGCTCTCTGAGAAAACCCCCTCATTACTTCTTTTAATGGAGAGAGGTCCAAAATATTTCTCTCCATTTGAGAAAAGCCCAGACTCATTTTGAGCCGTTATATTTTCCAACTTTGTCTCTGCCCGCCACATAATCGCTGGGTCACGCGCTCAGCAATTTTTTTCTTCCGTTTTTTTTTTTTTTTTTTCTGTATCAGTTTTCTTAATCGACTATGAAGTGTAGTCGATTAGCCCTAATCGACTATGCTTCGTAGTCGGTTAAGGAAATTCTTTAATTTTTTTTTTATTTTTTTTTCTATATCAGTATATTAATTGAATATGATGAAGCATATTTGATTAAGAGTTTGCTACTAAAAATAACAAATCAAAACTGCAAAAAAAAAATGCAAAATCAACTATATTTTACAAAAACAAAAAACAAAAAACATAAGAACATTATAATTGATTTATTAAAATTGGAATCAATAAACAAAAAATTCAAAAAAATAAAAATAAAAAATTGAAGTCGATCAACCTTAATCTACTACCAGAGCATAGTCGATTAAGAATCTGTATAAAAATAACAAATCACAACTGCGAAAAATGCAAATAAACTACAATTTACAAAAACAAAAAAATACCACATTATAATTGATTTATACAATTGGAATCAATAAAAAAGAAAAGAAACTGGAGTTGATCAAACCTTAATCGACTACTAGAGCATAGTCGATTATTGAACATGTACATAGTCGATTAAGATTCCAGCCTGCGCGAATTTCTCTATATGCGCCGTTATCCGCTCAATCCAACAAAAAACCCTAAATCTGCCTCCCCATCGTCACCACACGGCCGCCACACCACACTATTCATGCTCTTGTAGAAAATCCTCAAATAGTGTTTGGGAAACGTGATTTCTTCGACAGATAAAATTAAAATAAAACAAACAGTAATTAATTACTCCATCAATTTCTACTCACAAAAATTTATGTTGCAGAGTATTCAAAATCAATTTTTAATGGAGATGATGAATTTAAAATAAAAACAAATCAATCGGTTTAAGAAAACAAACTGCATCGCCAACACCTTGTTTGACGGGGTCTTCATATCGTCGAGCCGAAACCTCGTCGTCGCAAGCGTTCGCTGCCAGAGCTCCACCCCCAATATGTCCAATTATGATGGTTGCAACAGTTCTTCACCCAATATGTCGGCCAATGTTCGTCGGAGCAGTATTTAACGGCGTCGGCCAAATTCTGATCGAGAAGATCAGAAGCAGGTCGAGAAGAAAAAAAAAAAGAGAAAGAATAAAGAACGAGAGAAGAGAGCAGAAAGAAGGGAGAGAAGAGAAGAGAGAAAAGGAAAAGAAAAAACAACGGCGGAGTGATATGTCAAAATTTAGAGTTAAGAGTAAGAATATAATTGGAAGATTACCTTTATTAATTATCCAAACTAACAACAAAAGGGGGGATAATTACACTTTTCGTCCCTATACTTTAGCACTTATTCGTTTTTCGTCCTTAAAAAGTTGGAGTGACATTATTCATCCCTAAACATGCCATTTTTCTGCTATTTTTGTCCCTCCGTCAATTTGGCTGGTTAATTTGGACGGAAAACAACATGTGCTTCGCACATGATACGTAAGAGTCAACCCCTCTCTTCAATTTCAGATTGCATCTTCTTTAGAACATAAACCTTCTTTTCCAAATGGCTAATTTCTTCAATATCACACCTCTTTGGACTCGTAAATAGCCTCAATAATCCCCAAAAGACAATTTTTTCCATCATACAAAAATCTAATGCAATGCAATTTATATTTTGAATGATGTTTTTCTTCGAAGAGAAGATGTTAATTAATATATTTGAATTTTTTGAATGAAATTTATAATATGTTAAGCTACTCAACAAGAATTCTTTGTTTTGTTACATATTGAGGATTTGCACGATTTGCAATTTTGTAAACTTTAATTTAGATTGCCTAACCTTATTAGTCATTATCTCCATATTGGACGAAAACACAATTGACGTTAACTACTCATTTAAACAAAAGAAATTGTCATCGCCGGTGTAGGGAATATTAATCCTATATTATTTAAACTTGTTTTTGATTGATGCAATCTTCAATCGTGTCTAATAATATTGAATAGAAAAAAAATATTAGATGTAGTTGCATGTCTTCTATATTCATTAATTCTAAAGTGTGTATATGCACACAAATTGCAAAAGGTTATTTCACTGTAAGTTTTGAGTTCAAATATGGAAATTTCATGCAAAGTCAAAATAAATATTATTCATACAACAATTGTATCGTTCACATTCAATTCTGCGAATTTCCTCTTAATTAGGTGGGAATGGGTCTCTTGCATGGTGGTAGCTCGTTTGCAAAGTTGAAATGGAATGTGCATGGTGGCTCGTTCCGTAGCAAAGTTTAAAGATGAGTCTTGTTTGGTGCCAATGCATGGGTAATTTGAGTTAATATGAGTTGGTTTCACGAAGCATATCAACAGCAGCATACATGTGAGTGGCCACATGGATTAATCGTCCATGTCAGCAGCATATATTAAGATTTTTAGGTTCACGTCAGACCTCCATCCAAAGTAACAGCAAGAATTAACGGCAGGACGGAAACTGCTAAAAAATGGCATGTAGAGGGACGAATAATGTCACTCCAACTTGTTTAGGGACGAAAAACGAATAAGTGGTAAAGTATAAGGACGGAAAATGTAATTATCCCACAAAAGGGTATGCTGCTTGATTTCATTTATTTTTAATAAAACTAGCATATTTCAATTAAGATTGACAAAAAAAAGAGAAAAAAAAAAAAAAAAAAAAAGTGAAATTAGACTAGAATTGTTTGGGAAATTTCTTACAAGAAAATTAACCCTTAAAAAAAGAGCGTATGATGCTTGAATTGCAGGGAACACACGGTATTCATTAGTAAAAGGCGAAAAAATAGTTAGCTATGTGCTCAGTACACAGCTGTGTAAATTAGAACAAGTTACTGCCATTGTATTTATCTCCCTGTTTTATAAACAATTATTTGGTTATTTTCCTATGTGGGATTCTTTGTCTAGGCCAAAATACAAAGTCTTCTGCCAATTCAAACTTGGGGGTTGCATGAAATTTCCAATGAGTTGCCTTCTATAACAAAATCTTTCGAAGGTATTACAATTAGTTTGTTCGGGAATACAATTTGTATCCGACAAAGTATCGTATGTGTGTACAAATAGGAAAAAATTCTAGCTAACAAAAATTATACTCGAATATCAAGCTCTGCTTAAATGAGAGGTCAAATCAATGAATAACTCTTCACTGCAAGGAATAGTAAGGCCACCCATTGGATGATGGAATCCGAATTCTTGTTCCGCTTGGCATAGCAATTCTTGAAACGAAGGATGGTTCAAATACGACAATGGAATTACAAATCGCTTCTTTTCACTTTCTCCGACGTACACAGCTAAATGCCCCTTTGGAACTTCAGTAGATCTTTTTTCGTTGGATAGAGATCGTTTCAGTATTTGGCGGATGGCCATTTTTGTGTGAAGTGAATCTTGCTTAGATGGAAGTTTAGAACTGTTTGAGAAGTATTTGAAATAAGCAAGAGCTGAGAAAGGAGGAGTTGTTGTTGATGGTTGTAATCAAGGAAATATGGTGTTTCTATATATACTTTAGAAATCGAAATAAATGGTGCTTTATGAAACTCGAGAAACCTACACATATGATGTCACATGCGTTTGTCTTTCAAAACAAATCATAATAAATTCAAGCCAAGATGAATTTGTGTGATCGAATATGCTGTATCCCACCAACTATAGCAACATTGGCCCTTAAACCACTCTATAATTAGTTTTCTCTTCTATCTAATGTGACCCCACAAAATTATAATAGCTGAATGATTGCCACTCATATATATGTATGTATGATCTTCCATTTGCTAGTATAGTTGGCAATGCTAAGTTATGTTTTGTAATTTAACTTATGCCACATTCAATTCGGTGGGCCGTATGACATTTTCTTGCTCAAATTTTGTGAAGAATTTTGAGACAAAAGCATGCGATTTTGTTTGTCATAAACCATTTGGCCACTTCATAACCACTCTATCCAGCTATAGTTAAAAAGTTCACTAAACTCACAACCAACATTTGTTGAGGATTATGGCATTGAAAAGTTCATCTATATATATGTTTACACGATACATTTCTCAACTCACAACCAACCTTCAAAACTTGATTTGCAAGATTTTCATCTGTTTCACTAAACATATATTTCTTTATTTTCATCTTCGGCCTCAACAAGATTTTTACTTGTAACAAAAATCGATGGCTATTCAAAAAATTCTTAGACGGTCTTTATCGGCTGAAAAGAGATCAACTGACGTTCCAAAGGGGCATTTGGCTGTTATGTCGGGGAGAGTGAAAAGAAGCGATTTGTAATTCCATTATCGTATTTGAATAATCCTTTGTTTCAAGAATTGCTATGCCAAACTGAAGAAGAATTCGGATTTCATCATCCGATGGGCGGCCTCACTATTCCTTGCAGTGAGGAGTTATTCATTGATCTCACCTTTCACTTGAGCAAAACACAATAAATTGAATAGGTTCTAGAGCAATAGAATTTTTGTTAGCTAGTCTCTTTACAGGTTTTTCCATTTGTACACACACAAGATACTTTGTCGGATACAAAAAGTATTCCCGGACAAATTAATGGCAATTACAAGTTTTATCATAATCCCTTTTTTTGCATTTTTTTCAAAAGTTTTATCTCTAACTTTTTGTTTGATGTTGGTCACACACAATAAAGCATGTTCAAAACGTAGATCATTATGTACTTGTCAGAATATAAATAAGGCAACTCGATCATTGGAATTTCATGAACCCCCAACAAATGAATCGGCTGAAGAGTTTGTAACCAGTGTGGATGCTTATATTTTGGTCCGGGCAAAGAATCCCAAATAATAATTTATAGCCAGAGATATAAATACAAGAGCATTGAGCACATTGCAAACTATTCTTTTGGTTTTTTTTTTTTTTTTTTTTTTTTTTGCAAACATGGTGGCTCGTTGCAATTCAAGCAGCATACGCCTCATTTTGGAGGGTTAATCTTGTTCAATGTTTACTAATTTTAATTTGGTCACTGATAAGTTACAACATTCAAAAATATGTTTTGAAAAAGTGCCTATAATCAAATTTAATTATTATGTTTCTAACGTCTGAAAAAACATATATGGGACTTGGTTAAACTTGAGAAATTATATGGAAATTTCAATTTGTGGTATATTTGACAAGATAAAATAGCGCAAGTAAGGTATGTTAAACAAAGAACAAAAGATTGATTTGAACTGTTGAGCTCATATATATAGAATTAGTATTTCCAAATCAAATCACACAATACTTTGGCATCTTAAAATGGTTCAAAGATTTTGCTATATATCTACTCTAATTTTGTGCTTCTATACATCTTTTTTTTTTTTTTCCATTCGTCTAGAAAAGAACTAACAAGAACTAATTTTACAAAATTGTGGTCCTCCTAAACATGTATGTATATCATGTTCTGCTCAAACGAGAGGTTAAATCAATAAATAGATCTTCACTGCAAGGAATAGTGATTCCACCCATCGGATGATGGAATCCAAATTCTTCTTCGGCTTTAGATAGCAAATCTTGAAACAAAGGATTGTTCAAATATGATAATGGAATAACAAATCGCTTCTTTTGACTCTCCCCAACATAAACAGTTAAATGCCCTTTTGGAACTTCAGCTGTTCTTCTTTCGTTGGATAACGATCGTCTCAAAATTTGGCGGATTGCCATCTTCTTGTGATGTGAATCTTGCTTTAATTTGTTCAAGTAAAAACGAAGAGGTATTTGAAATAAGTGAAAGCTGAGTATTTTCAGGAGTTGGTTGTTGTATGTTTGTAGTCAAGAATGTGGTGTATATATAGGTTGTTTTCTTGAGATACTACCTAAGTGTGGTCAACATAATTGTGGTTACTCTATGAAACTCGAAAGAACATACGCATATGAAATCACATGGATTTGTCTGAAAACATGATAATAAATTCAAGCCAACATGAATTTCTGTGATCGAAAATTTAGTGTCCTACCAACTATGGCAACATGGCCCACACATTTCATTATCTCTTCTTATTAACTTAAATCCCGAATTATGCTTACTGTGTGTAACTTAGGTTTTGGTATATATCCAATTATACATATACATGTGATCTTCGGCCATTTGCTAGCGTAGTGGGCTGTTGGGTGCTAAATACCTAACACGCAATTGCACGTATCGCAAACAAGTAGTAAAAGTGGACTCGTGAGAGTCGGATGTCGATCCCACAGGGAATACTCAAATTATCTAATCCTAAGTACCAAATTCTAACAATTATGATTTTTATCCAGCCTACGCAAAGTTGTCAAATTTAATCAACTAAATAATTAAACTAATTATGAAAGCAATTAAACACGAGAAAATATCAATAAAAACGGACCTAGGATTTTATCTTCCCCCTATGCAAGAATTGCTCACCCAAAACCCCTCAATTATGAAATATATGATTCATGATTATTAACCCAAGACACTAATTTACTCATAACCCGCTGTCGCGTGTATTATGAGTCTATTATTCATAAACGATTCACTATATGTCTATGCAAATCAATTAAAAATAAAGCATTAACTAACAAGTCTCGTAAATGGCTACCTAAGGTGATATCTGTATGTCTACGACACCACATGCAATTGACACACTCATCCGGTGAAAACTACTCGAAGGCTCTTCTACCTACCGTCTAATTATCAAAATAGCTCTGTCGAGTCAATGCCAATAATCACAGATAAAGCACATAAATTGATCAGGTTCATGCACTAACAATCATAACAAGTAGAAGAAATAATCATAAAATCATAATTGCATAATCTCAAGAAAACGGGATCACCATCCCCACATAGGGTTCCAATAAAATCCTAGATTAAAAGCTTAGCTACTCGTAATTCTTATGATAAACAAAATAGAATAAATGAAATAAATAAGAAAAACTATGCTTGAGTCTTCGTTGATCTTCGTTCTCCGCGTTTTTTGGTGTAAAATTTCGTGCTTATGGTGTAGAGACATGTTGCTTTTATAGGCTTTTCTTGATAAGGAAGTAGTAGAAACCTAATAGGAATCAATTTCCGCCACTTTCCCCCATCAGGACTTGTTCTTCGATTTTCGCCATGTTGGAGTCCGAATTTTGGAATATTGTGTAAATAAGAATTGTAGCCCTTGAAATTAGCTTTCCAATGCCGCCAAAATCACCTAATTCGGAGTTTGTATGAGAGAGATATGCTCGAAATCGTGGACAGTGTCAAAGCTGTGGCGAGATTCCTTCTTCCAATTTGATTTGTTTCCTTATTTGCAACTTTTTCCTTTCTTTTTGATCTTTTTTCCTTCATGGACACCTAATTCTCGTTTTTCACCTATAAAACACAAAATCAATCAATTAAAGCACAAATATAATTAAATCTAAACAAAAGATCCACGTAAAGTAAACGTATTGAGTGTAAAATCTACACTCAACATGGGCCTCTATTTTTATTTTGTATTCACAACAAATTCAATAAGAGAAGGCTGCGGCCCCGCACATCTCATCGTATATCTCGATATTTCGTAATAAATACTAACAATTAGGAAATGTTATCCTAGATGTTATCCTAAAATTCTTAGACGGTCTTTATCGGCTGAAAAAAGATCAACCGAAGTTCCAAAGGGGCATTTGGTTGTTTACGTCGGAGAAAGTGAAAAGAAGCGATTTGTAATTCCATTATCGTATTTGAACCATCCTTCATTTCAAGAATTACTATTTCAAGCTGAAGAAGAATTCGGATTCTGTCATCCAATGGGCGGCCTTACTATTCCTTGTAGTGAGGAGTCATTCATTGGTCTCACCTCCCACTTGAGAAGAGCATAATGTATATATTAAGTCTTAGAGAAATATAATTTTTGTTAGCTAGTCTCTTTACATATTTTTCATATTTGTAAATTGTAACACACAAGTACTTTGTCGGATACAAAACGTATTCCCGAACAAATTAATGGTAATTACAAGTTCTTATCATAAGCTCTTTCTTGCACTATTTTTTTCTCAAAAAAGTTATCTCTAACTTTTTGTTTGACTAGAAAAATTAAGTAGAAATATTTAGGGTAAATAGCATCTGCGGTTAACAGTTTTGGCAGATAACCCACTCTCGTGTGCTTGTAATATCATCTCATAACCCCCTTGTGGTTGATTGGTTGTATTTGTTAGTTTTTCCGTCAAACTTAACAGCACGATCAAACTTCAAGGAGTCATCTGCATAAATTAAAGGGAAAATGTAAGCACAAGGGGGTCTCTGCAAAAAGTAGTATTTGACATTTGACACGTGCAGTTAATTTTGATGAAAAAACTAACGGGTGCTATTCCCATCAATAAACCACAAGGGGTTATGTGTTGATATTACGAGCACAACAAGGGGAGTAATCTGCAAAAACTTGTAATCACCGGGGGTTAAGTGCGATTTATTCAAATATTTAAAAGAGGAAATGTGCAAAATTATTTCTGAAAAGACAAAATATCGGAGATGGGGGAAACTGATTCAGTTTGTTTTAAGAGACCAGGTTTTCAATGAGCTGATTCAAAGGAAGAAGGCAAGGGCATTTTTGACATTCCTACACATCTACCATATATTGTGTGTGTTTGTATGGAAATTAAAAGCCTCTCTCTCTCTTTTTTTTTTTTTTGAGTAAAAATTAAAAGCCTCTCTATCCACTGACTCATACGCAGCTTTTTTAGCTTGAGGAACCACAAAGAGGAAGCATCATATACGAAGCAAGTTAACATATATTTGAGTTCCACCCTCCGGAATTTGTTGCAAAAGAGATCGTTGGAATAAAGTTTCCTCCATAATTAAAACGGTATATAGGCACTTAACCCATCTGTGGTTACAAGCTTTTGCAGATGACCCCCTTGTGCTCGAAATATGAGCACATAACCCTCTTGTAGTTTATGGAGTTGGCTTCCGTTAGTTTTTCCGTCAAACGTAACCGCGTGTTTCAAACTTTAAGGGGGTCATCAGCAAAAATGAAAGAAAATGAAAGCACAAGGGTATCATCGGTGGAATAAATATATTGATGTTTGACACATGCAGTTAAGTTTGACGGAAAAACTAACAAAAACTAGGGGTGTAAATGAGTCGAGCCGGCTCGCGAGCTTCCGGAGCTTGCTCGAAAAAAGCTCGTACTTGAGCTCGAAAAATCGAGCTCGAGCTCGAGCTAACGAGCCCAAGCTTTTCGACGAACCGGGCTCGAGCTTCATTTTAGTTGTTCGACAGCTTGCAAGCCGGCTCGCGAGCTTTACCTTTTTTTATATTCTTTAATAATATATAATAATGGATATTATTAATAATAAATAAAAAAGAATTATATTATTTTTCTAATTGAATGAAAATTTGGTTGTGCCGAGCTCGAGCTCGGGCTCATTTGGCATACGAGCTCGAGCTCCTTAGAAACACAACGAGCTCGAGCTCGAGCTGAAAATTAAAGGCTCGTTGAGTTCAAGCTCGAGCTCGAGCCTTGTATAGTTCTAGCGAGCTCGAGCTCGAGCTCGCGAAATAAGGCGAGCTTGGCTCGAGCTCAGCTCGTTTACACCCCTAACGGAAGCTACCCCATCAACCACAATGGGATTTTGTGCTGATATACAAGCACAAGGGGATTATCTGTAAAAGTTTGTAACCACGGAGTTAAGTGCTATTTACCGTAATTAAAATTGACTATGTTTGTGATATTGATAAATAGTTTGATTTCTTTCAGTCCATTGCAGCAGTAAATGCTCAAGCTTTAGAGACTTGGGAATTTACACGATGACAAGTGGTCGTATGACGATTCCACACAGACAAGATATACACGCTCCAGGTTACGAAAATCCGCTCATTTGTGGAACTTTAATTAGACTACCACAAATAATATTGATGGTTTCAAGAGATCTGGGGTATAGATTTCGATGCTACAAAGTTACGTTCCTCTTTAGCCAAGGCTATCTTAGAAATGTAAAAGTTCTTGAGATGACGGAGATTATTCACCGTGACGCTTCGTAAACCCTAGCATAATTCGAGAAACATACTTTCTACCAAAGGACAAGTAGAGATTATCTTCTGAAAAGTGTCGTCCTCAGTATGTACTTGTACGAGATGAAGTTTCTTCGGATGCTTACACAGTACTCTCCTTTCAATAGCCTTTTGCTCCAACACAATTTTTTTCACATGCAAAGGTTGGAGTGATTCGGTTTCAAATACTACAACGGGGAGATGAATAAATCCCGAACTTTGTTCCGAATGATTATAAAGACAAAGCTTCTTCATAACCATAATCGGGAGTATTCGAATCCATTTCTCAAGAAGCGAAACTGCTTCGTGATCCGAAATGCAAAGATGAAATTCGTCTACGTACATCCTTTGATCACAATATATCTGTAAAGTGTTGTCGACGGCGGATAGAAATTCTTGTTTGTTACCTTTGTAGCTTGTGTCAGAAAAATCATGATGAGGGCGAGTACAACAATTGCAACGCCATGACTTTCACAAGACAAATGTTTGGGCAGCCTCGTCTTGGGAGAGGAAATACAGTATTTGTTGTGAGATGCCTTTTTTGGCAACTCGGGATATCCTATCCATGGAGTTCGACGGACTAAATTTTTAGTTAGGGGCTAGGTAATATGATTTTTTCATAAATTTTGACCTTTTTCTTTTTCATGACTTTCATGTTAGAGTCGATGAACTAAAATTCGACAAATCCGAATCGAAATCAACTATTTTGGGAAAATTCTACTGTTTTCAGAGAAAAAAAAAGCTAAATTTAATTTGGATTCCTATTTCGATTTTATTTTAATTTAAAAACGATTTCAATTTT